CGCCTCCCATTAAAAATTGATTAAAAGTTACAAATGCCCCAGCTGTGGCACCTCTGGGCTGGCTCCAGCACCCGGAGTGTCCCCAGGACCTGCAGGACAGCATTCCCTGGGTGATGTCTGACTCCCGAGCTCAAAGGAACCCATCCCACCTGAGACAGCTCTGCTTCTCCAAATAGCACAAAATCAGCAGGATGGCTTCTGAGGTAGTGTTGGAAACACTAAAGAAAAAAGCTTTAATAAAAGGTAAAATAACAAAGCTTTTACAGAGAAAAACTGAGCCAGGGGCAAGAGGTCCTTGCTCCTGCTAAAACGCCCCACAAAATTATTTCCTTTATTATTATTTCCTTTATTCTCTCCTTTTTCTGGTGAATTACCTAGGCTGGACCTCTTGGCCTCTGCCCAATGGGCAGCCCCAGGTCTGAGGTGAAGTCCCAAAGGTCCTATGAGGTGTCTTTGTGCCAAATTAAGGAGAGAAACTTCTGGGCTTTTCACCTTTTTAAGCAGACACAAAATAATTTGGTCACTCCATCAACAGGGAGCACATTCCTACACCTGGGTGAGGAGTGGGAAGGGCTCAGAGGGAGATTTAGAGGAATTCTTTTCTTCTCAGTCCTGTGGGGTCCAGGGCCTTGATCTCCCCCTCTGGGGTCAGCCAGACTGTTTTCTGTGTGAGACAATCCCTGAGGCACTTTGGAATCTCCCTGGCTGGGGATAAATTTCCACTGAGCTGTTAATTGTGATATGATTAATCTTGTATTGCAGTAATTGTTGTGTTTTGTACCAAACCTGTGCCATAAATTCCCCACTCTTGGCTGGGCTCCAGCAGAACTGAGGGCATTTATTGCCTTGAGAGCAGCAAAACACCAGGATTGGCTTTGTAGGAGCAATAAAATGGGATAAAGGTGCTAGTGGGAAGCCCCTGGGAATAATCTGTTATTTCAGAGAATCATAAAATCAAGGAATTCCAGGAGACCCTCCTGGGGCAGAACCACTGCCTTGCACCTTCCACTGCTAAAGGACCATTAATTTAATTAAATTTAAGTTTTAAAAGTTTAAAAATTATATTTAATTTTAAAAACTCAAATTTAAAGTTTAAATTTAAAGCTAAACTAATTCAGATAATTAAAGGAGAGTTAAATTCTTCTGGGCTGTGCTTGTAAAGGAAATTCCTTCCTCTGACAGAGGTGCTGGAGGGGGAATCTCCTCCCTGGGAGCAGCACCAGGACAGGCAGAGGCTCCATCCCACCAGCTCCATCCCTGGGCAGATGTGGAGGTCTCTGCCAGCACCTCAGCCCCACCTGCCTGTGCTCAGAGCTGTAATTAATTAATGAGAACAACCCCTGGCTGCTCCTCAGTGCCCAGTTAATGATTAAACTCCTGCTTGGAGCCAGCCAGGGATGGTTCTGCTGCACATAAACCTCTCTGCAAGGAACAACACTGCCCCTGTCTGTCTCCTCCTGGACTTCCAAGTCCAGTGGTGTTGGGAAGAAAAGAGATCTTGGGGAGGTGGAGACCCTCACCCCTGCCCTGCAGGGTGACCCCAGACCCACCAGGATTTAAGAGCAGGAACAATGCTAGCTCTGGTTTAAGATATTATCAGGTAAATTTGCATCACTGACAAATGGAGGAAAGCAAAACCCAAGCCAATAAAATCTGGTTGCTCTAACACAGCAGCAAAAGGCTGCAGTGCCCCTGGTGGGGCTCCTCTTTGCAGGCTCTTGGTCCTGTGGGGCCAAGCACAGCTTGGGTGGGAGCTGCAGTGATGAGGAAGGGCCTTTTTCATTTACAGTTCCATCAGAAACAAAGAACAGGGGCAAAAAAGGAAAAAAAATACAATGGCGAGAAGCATGGTGGGGTTGGAGAGGGTCGTTGTCTCCCTGTGGGCAGGGAAAGGGCAGAGCCTCAGCTCCTGGTTATTGCCCAAACCGTGCTGGAATGGGGTTAAAAAGCCTCAGACACCTCCAGCATCTCCCACAGGGCTGGAGAGATCCCAGCTGGATCCTGGGGAGAGACCAGCTGGATCACACAGGGAACCAAAACTGATCCTGAAGTGATCCCAGCTCCATCTTGGAGTGATCCCAGCTGGATCCTGCAGTGAACCCAGCTGGATCCTGGAGTGATTCCAGCTCCATCCTGGAGTGATCCCAGCTGGATCCTGGAGAGAGCCCAGCTGGATCCTGGAACAGTGATCCCAGCTGGATCCTGGAGCCAGGTTTGGTGTTCCCCACCTTGGCTCAGCAGCATCCAAGCCTCACTCTCAGCCCCGAGGCTCCCCCGATGCAGCCCCAGAGGGGCTGTAATTAACTGTAATTAACACAAATTATTGCTGCTGGGGCCTGGTGCAGCTGCTCGCTGACGCTGCCAGAATCCCACCAGCCACTGCTCCCGAGTCTGATCTTTGTCATGAAAGATGTGCACAAGGATGTTTTTAATTGGGACAGGAGGTCTTGACAGGCTCATGTAGACATGGAAATGACAGGTCTGAGCCAGGGTGGGACGGATGGTTGGGAATTAGATGAATATTCTGTGCAAAATGCAAAGCTGGGTGTTTTCTTTGTTGTTTTTAACATTGTTAACACACAAACTCAGTCTGGATAATCTGCCTGAAGACACTGAGGGTACATTTACCAACCCTTCTGAGACTTGTTTCTTCTGCAAGGCTGTGATCTGTCCTCGTGGCTGTTTTGTGTCTGGGCTCTGCTGGGATTTTGCCTTCCAGGCACAAATCAAGTTAAATATGCCCAGAATTAGATTTCCAGAACCACAGAATGGCTTGGGTTGGAAGGGCCATTAAAGCTCATCTCATTCCACCCCCTGCCAGAGTAAGAAGCCTGATTTTGATTTCAGGGGTCTCCAGACAAGACCCCAGGGTTTCTGCTGGGCTCTGCCTCAACCTGGGGGGAGATTTTGTTTGCTCCAGACTTGGAGCAGGCTGGGATAGTGAAAGGGGAATGAAACTGGAGGAGCTTTAAGGTCTCTTCCAACCCAAACCATTCCATGATTTTATGATGATGACAAAGCAAGAGCCTTTGTTCCTTACAGTCAATTTAATTTCCAAACTAATGCAGGCTTTCTTTAGAGAGAGGGGCTGACCCGTGGAGGCAATTGCACTGAACAATTAACTGCTGCTAATGAACTGCTTGCAGCACTGAGCTGCACTCAATCCTTGCCATCCCTGACCTTGCAGCAGCAGCACCTTTCCAGGCCAGGCTGTGAATACCAAACAGGCTGAGGCTGCACAGCCCACAGCCAGGCTCTCAGTGCCTCTGCAAACATCCCTGGAGCTGCTCTGCAAGGAGAAAAGGGCAGGGCATCCTCCTGAAGAGCTGCACCACGCCAAAGGTGTGCACAGGGTGCTGACCCTCGGAAAGAATCCAAGGAATGCGAGGCAATGAGGCAGGGGAAGGAGCAGGGAAATGCTGGATTGTGGCTGAGCAATGAATCCAGTCATTCTGGGGCTGGCCAGCCTGATGCCAACCCCTGCACCAGCAGGAGAAAACTCCTCAGCAGCAGCAGGCAGGAGGCACCTGCAGGGGCTCCAGGGGGAGCTGAGGTGGCCTCGATCCCTGCAGGAGCAGGAGCAGGAATAGGAACAGGGGCAGGAGAAGGAGTAGGAGCAGGAGTAGGGCAGGAGAAGGAGTAGGAACAGGAGCAGGATCCCTCTACCAGGAGCAGGAGCAGGGCACGAGTAGAGTAGGAGCAGGAGAAGGAGAAGAAGAAGGAGCAGGGGAAGGAGCAGGAGCAAGAGAAGGAGTGGGAGCAGGAGCAGGATCCCTCTGCCAGGAGCAGGAACAGGAGCAGAAGAAGGAGCAGGATCCCTCTGCCAGGAATAGGAACAGAAGCAGGAGCAGGAGCAGGATCCCTCTGCCAGCAGCAGGGCTCAGCTCTGGGTGGCACCAGGCACAGTCATGGGCCTGCTCTTGCATAAGGCCCCAGCCCTGGGGCACAAACAGCTCAGTTTCAAAGGGCTACAAACAGATCCAGCAGGTAAAATTCCATATTCCCCTGGCAGGATTAAGCAGCTCGTGGAATGGGGCTTGCCTGTGGTGAGTGATTCAGCCCAGAGCATCTGGCAGCTCCAGGGAAGGCACAGAAATGTGGAGCTCATGCCCAGAGGAATGACCCTGCTGCTCTCTGGCTGTTGCTTTAATTTGTTCTCTTTTGTTCCCACTTCATACCAGCTCCTGTTTGTGAGCATCACCACGTCACAGACTGGTAAGGGATCTTTGGGAGTGAGAGTTCTCCTTGGAAATCTGAACAAAACTCAGCCTTCATGACACCAGCACACAATGGCTCTGACTAAAGCCAAGGATTGGAAGAGAAGCCTTTTGTTTCCAAAACAACCTGGTTTTAAGAGATGTTTAGGTTCTGTTTCAGGGCAAAAATGCTTGGAGAGAGTCCTTAATGCTCTCCTCCTTTCTCATTAGATGAACAAGGTGAGGTTTCCCTCGGGGCTTGCACCATGCAGGGGCTGAGCAGTCAGAGCAGTAAACAGTGGTCAGAGGAGAGGAGCACAGGGATGAAAACACAACTTTAACCCAGGCAGGGGCTTGGCTGACCCTTTTATCTCCCCCTCCTCCCCTCACAGTGCTCTTGCTGCCTTTAAAGTCAAACATTTGCAGGTGGAAGTGCTCAGCCCGAGCAGCTGGGGCTGGGGGAACCTCTGGGGCTGGCAGGAATTCCATCTTCCCTCTTTGTGCCTGCAGGGAGAGCTGGCAATTACAGAACCATGGAACACTTTGGGTTGGAAGGGACCTTAAAGCTCTCCTTGTTCCTCCCCTTGTCACAGGCAGGGCCACCTTCCACCATCCCAGGTTGCTCCATGGAAGACTCTGCCTGTGCTGATCAAATAATTCCATTTTCTAGGTGGGACAGACCTGACCTGGCTCATCCTTTCTCTCAGAACTCTTTGTTTTAAACCTCACTGTTTAGGGGCATTTATTATTTACCTGACTGTGACATAAATCTGTACCACATGGCACTGTCTGATCACACACAGGTTTATTAGGGACATCAGCCACCTCTGTTCCCCAAGGTGAGCAGCAAGGTGTTGGCAGCATCAGCTGGGCCTCAGAGGTGCCAGGACAGCTCGGAAAGGATGAGCTGGAGCTGACCCAGCCTTGCCTCTGCCCCATTTTGGGCAGCACTTCTGGATCTGACACCAGCACAGCCTCTGGCCTCCTCAGCTGTGTCCTCCTGCAGTTCAAGCCTCCTCCAGGTGCTGGATGCAGGCGGTCAGGGCTGGGTGGGAGAGCAGAGTGTGGCAGGAAGGCAGTGGATGTGTGGGCAGCCCTCCAGCCCACCCAGCAGGCAGTGATGGTTTTGCAAGGCACTTTCACATGGCAGGTGAGTGCTCAGGCCTCAGAGGCTGTGATAAAATTAATTTAAAAACCCCCAAAAAGTCCTAATGGAGCAGCAAAGTCCAGCAGTTCTTCCCAGAGACGCTTTATCCACAGGCAACCCCTCTGAAAACAAGCCAAACCCCGAATTCCACGGCTTCCCTGTTTTGATGAATCCCCAAATGCAGTAAAGCCCTTGCAGAAGAACACACCCCATCCACGCTGAGAGATGCTTGGTATAAATAGCTCATGTACATCTGCTATATACAAAATATTCTGTACAGGCCGCCTTCCTTTATTTGGTGTGAAGCTCTCCCGAACTGCTGGGGCAGGAGCTGGCAGCAGATTCTCATGCCCAAGGCAGTGCAGGCCGCTGGATTTGGGGTGCAAATCCCCTTCTCCACCAGCCCCACGAGCTATTCCTTCAGCAGCCCCAACTTCTTGAGCGCCTCGCGCCGGTTCTCGTCGGCCGCGCCCTTGGGCGAGATCTTGACGCTGACGGCGGAGCGCGGCGGCCTGGGGAAGCTGGGCAGAGGGTGGGATCTCCTCTTGCTGCTCTTGTCCTTCTCCTCCTGCTCCTTCAGGCCGCCGAAGTCCTTCCCTGCCGCCAGGGAGGCGGGCCGGGCGCGGCTGCGGAGGAAGCTGGGCGCCAGGCGCTCGATGAAGGACATCTTGCCCAGGGAGCTGCTGCTGCCGCGCCCGTTCTGCTCCTTGGCGCTGCCCATGGAGCTGCCCAGCCCCACCCCAGAGCGCTCCAGGGTGTTGGATTTGAAGGGGATCTGGCGGATCCCCGGCACGGAGCCCTGCCCAGGCTGCCCAGGGATGGGGAGTGGTGGCTCCCCAGGGTGAGGATGGAGGTGGGCGCTGGGCTCCCTCCTGTCCTGGGAGAGTCCCAGCTTCTCCAGGGCCTCCCTTCGGGCTTTCTCCTTCTCCTTGGGGTCGAGGTGGCCTGAATTCCCCTTCTCAGCAGTGCTGTCGCTGGCAGGGCTGGGCTGGGAGCTGGCTGGGGGTGGAGGCGCTGCTTTTACCTTCTGGTTGTGCTCCGGCACGGGGCTGTTCCTGCTGGTTTTCAGGATGATGTTTGGTGGCAATTTCCGCGGTTTGGGGGCGGTTGGAGGCCCACGCTTGGCATCGGGATCCTGAGGGGCCTCTTCCAGAGTGGATTTCTCCAGGTGGCCCCAGGAAGTCCGAATCTTGGTCTCCTTGGCCGCCTCCCCCTTGGCATCTGAGTGATGGCTGCGTGACCACTCCAGGTCCTCCTGGAAGGGGTCTGGAGGTTGGATAATCACGGACTTGGTGTGGCTTCCTGCGCTGGCATGGTCCAGCCTGCCCTCCCTGGGCACCTCCTGGGCAGGTTTACCTGCTGGCACCGTGTGGACACCTCCTTTGCTGCCAGAAGCTCCATTGGCTGCAGGGATGTTCCTGGGAAGGCTGGAATAACCTGGGCCTGGAGCAGCTGCTGGGGCCGAGCTGGACGGGGCAGAGATGCTCTTACCACTCCTCTGTTCAGCCCCACGCTGCTGATCTCTGCTTGCAGGGGGAGTCCTGTTCCCCAAATCTGGGAAGAGAGGGAGCTGGAGTCATTCTCTGGACACAGAACACCCCTCACCCCTTGTGGGCCAGCACAGGCTCCCAGGGCTCCCCCAGCTCCTCTGATGTGGAAACCCAGGGCACAGGGAATATTTCTCTGCCTCCTCTGGGGTGCCCTGACCCCCAGGGCAGCACTGACTTTGACCCTCATTCATGGAGAAAGTTTCCCAGACTCCAAGACAGACTGGAATCCACAAAAGTGTGAAATTGATTACAGAGAGTGGTGTAGGTGTGTCACTTGGTGAGAAATTGAGGTTTTGGGATTTTTAGTATGTTGTGGATGGAAGCAAGATGGAGGGCACAGGGTGCTGTCCTGGGTTTCTTCTTCATGCTGCTTCTTCCTTCTTCTTCTTGGGTTTGGGTGGCATTTTGTAATTGGGCAGAAAAGTCTGCATTGTGGGCTCTGTGGGATCAGTTATTGGGATAAAAGGGAAAACAATCTAGGTGTCAGTTCTTAATTGGACAGTTTAGCCTTAAAAGACCTTGTAACAAGAGATTTTTGGCCATTTTGTGACTTCTAAGGAAAAGCTGCAGAACTCACAGTAGCGAGACTGTTTTACTGATGAGAAACAATAAACACCTGAGTCTGAACATGAACTATCATCTCAAATGCCTTCAATCCAGACCCAGAGAAACCAACAGCTTGTACCCCCACACTCTGATCCATCAGTGCTGGGGAAATTGGATTCTTTGGGCCTTGTTATTCTATGTGGTTACTGACACTGAGCAGGATCCCTGCAAGATATTTATATATTGTTGAATTTTGAAGCCATTGAGTTGTGGTATCAGAAAATTCTGCAAAATATTCATGTCTAGATAAGATGTGTATAGTACATATATCTACTTGAGAATAAGGCCTGTATGAAAGTATTTTGAGGAAGAAATAAATAGATTTTTATGTTTTATATTAAAATCCTATCTGCAGAAGGGTTTCCAGCTTACCCCGGGGCACAAGGCCTTTCCTGGGCTTGGAGGGCTCCCCGTAGTCCGTGTCATCCGTGGACACCCCACTGTCTCCCTCTGCATCCAGGGAGCCAATGGTTTCCTCCAGGAACATCAAACACTCTTTCTCTTCCACAGATAAATAGTCATAGCTGTTGTCACTCTGGAAAAAATGAAGATAAAGCAGAGCAAGTAAGAAAAAGAGGTTTACTTTATACTACATAGATATGTTTTTTTAAAAAAATTATATATACATATATAAATATATACGTAGTGCGTATATATAGTGAATATAAATATAAATGTATATATTTGTTATGTATACATATAAAATCTATAAATATATGCATATATTTATAATATATATGTGTATATAAATATATGTAGAAATATATAGAAATATATATGAGAGGTTTACTTTATACTACATATATATACAAATAAAAAATATATGTAGTATATATAGTAAATATTAATATATAAATATAAATATATATGTATATATTTATTATATATAAAAATATATTTAAGAAATAGGTTTACTTTCTAGTATATATATATAATATACATACATATATAAATATATATGTAGTATATATAAATATATATTTATATATGTATATATTTATAATATATGTGTATATAAATATATATATAAGAAAGAGAGGTTTACTTTTTACTATATATGAGAGGTTTACATTATGTTACACATATATATAACTTTATATACATATATATAAATATTATATATGTTTTAATATCATATATATTATTTTAATATTTTATATATTTATATTTAATTTCCAGGGGGGTTTAGAGAGCCTGTGACAGCTGCTTGGCCAGTGGCTGTTTAATTATGAGCATTTACAGCTCCAGAAAACTAGCCAAACTCTAAAAATAAGAAAAATACTTAAAGCCTTTTTTAATATAAAAGACTCCTCTGTGGGTCAGAAGGTGGGTTATTCTGAACTTGGGAACTTGGCCTCTAATTTTCAGTTCTTTAAACTGAAATGTGAGCAGATGGGTAACAAATCTGTAGGTACAGACACCTGCACTGCTCAGCAATGCTGAACCTCAGAAAACACCACAACACCGAAGGGTTCTGTGCAGGTGATGAACTCTCCTTGCTCTCCCATCCATTCCTGAGCCTGAGTTGTTTAATTTTTGTTGTATTTTGAGCACCAGGAGATGTTACTGCAATATCAGATATCAGGGTGATTCCTGCAATCTGTCATGAACAAAATGAGGCACAGGACAGGATGGAATGTGCATCAGATCAACAAGCACGGGGCAGGAATTATCCCAGGTGGAGTTGTTTTGCAGAGACACCTTATCCAAATCTTTTACCATGCAGTATCACAACCAGTTCTTCCATCCCCATTAAACTCAGAGGGTTTGGTTCTGGTTTGCAATACATCAAATGGAAAAGCTGCCAGGGCTGAGCTGCTCTCACACGTATCAATTATGCTCCAAGCCAGGCAGGATGTAATTAGCCCATCAATCTTGGGATCAGTGTTGGGAGACAAACAGGCTTTAATGGACAGATAGTGAAAAATTACACATCTACACCCATGATCCAAACTCATCCCTGCCTTAACTGGGAATTCATCTGGTGCCGGGCAGGAGGAGCTCAGCTCGCTGTCTCCTGCAGGTGCTGTCACTGCTTGGAGCCAGTGTGACCCAGTTCCCCAACTGCTCTGACCCCTGCACCCCTGCCAGCACAGGAGCCTCTGCAGGGACAGGATCCCCCCTCCAGGGACAAGATCCCCTCTACAGGGAGAGGATCCCCACTCCAGGGTTACCCTCTCCAGGGACAGGATCCCCTCTCCGGAGACAGGATCCCCCCTCCAGGGATCCCCTCTCCAGGGACAGGATCCCCTCTGCAGGGAGAGAATCCCCACTCCAGGGTTCCCCACTCCAGGGACAGGATCCCCCCTCCGGGGATCCCCTCTCCAGGGACAGGATCCCCTCTCCAGGGATCCCCTCTCCAGGGATCCCCCTCTCCAGGGATCCCCTCTCCCGGGACAGGATCCCCTCTCCAGGGATCCCCTCTCCAGGGACAGGATCTCCCCTCCAGGGACAAGATCCCCTCTGCAGGGATCACCCCTCCAGGGACAGGATCCTCCCTCCAAGGATCCCCTCTCCAGGGACAGGATCCCCTCTCCAGGGATCCCCTCTCCAGGGATCTGTCCTGGCCCAGAGCAGCCCCTGCAGCACCGAGGGCTCCCCACACACTTGGCAGGGTGGGAAGGCTGGGAGTGCTCTGGAGCAGGAATTCAGGAATCCACCTGTTCCTGCTGCTGTCTCAGGGCCTCCAGCTGCCCCCAAAGCACCAACAGAGAGCAGATTTGGGCTGAGATCTGCCCAAAATCCTTGCCCAGCCCAGAGGGGCGAGCTGGGCTGGGCACCCAGGGTTACTCACCCTCTGTGAGTGGTTGGAGGCCGTGCTGACCATGCTGTCACAGCTGCCAGAGTTGTAGCCAGCCATCCCCAGCTCCTTCCTAGGCATAGCCTGGGCTGCCCTGGAGGCTGGCACGGCGGGAATATCCCGGCTGGAGCAGGAGAAAGGAGAAGCATTAAGTTGTGAGGTTCCCCCAGGGGTGACTCAAACGCGCTGGGAGGGAGGGCAGGCAGGCTCTGAAGCTGCTGGATGGAGGAATGGTGCTCCATCTTCAGCTGCTGTCTCCAGGAGAAGGCACAGCTGGACTTTTAAAAATCATCCTTGAAGTTTTCCTCAAAATAATTGGGAATGGGGTAACCTCTGCACAGCCAGCTCGTGTTAGTGGCTCTCTGCTCACCTCAGAGGGGTGGGTAAGGCACAAGAAAAGCTGTAAGCCTGGCTTAGAAATCCCAGCACAGCCCCAGCCCGGACTCATGGGACCTCTTTCCTCTGCCACACCCTGTGCCAGCCCTGCAGCTTGAACTTGTGAACGTGCTGGCCCAAAATGCTGCTGGTTACTCACATCCTTGCTCTGTCAGGAGCTTCCTCCTGGCACAGAGCTGCCTCTGCCACCCTTCCTTGGGGGCCCTGGGGAGGTGTCCCCAGGGAGGTGTCCCCAGGGAGGTGTCCCCGGGCCTTTGGGGCACGCCTGGGTGTGTTTGGGCACACGGCTGGCACAGCCTGTGGGGAGCAGGGCAGGCTGGGGCTGTGCCCAGGGGGGTTCAAGCAGCACCCCAATGTCCCCTCTGCTCACAGCAGCGTCCCCCTGATGCAGCCCAGACCTCCCATCACCAGTGGGAGCCCGGCGTGGCAGCAGCTGCCCCACAAACAGCCTGGATTTGGGTTTCCCACACTGGGACAGGGTGGCAGAGGGGACAGCTATCCCTGCCCAGAGCTCTGCTGAGCACCCACAGAAGGGATGCAAAGCACCGAGCTTCCAAAATTCCTGGCACCACCAATGAGTCTCCTGTTCTTGGGGAGGGAATTCCTGGCACCACCCTGTTCTTGGGGAGGGAACTGGGCTGTGGGGGCGAGAGGGAGCAGCAAAACAAACACCAACAGCCCCTGCAAGACACACGGAGCAGCAAAACAAACACCAACAGCCCCTGCAAGACACACGGAGCCACGCGAGAGGATTTGCTCCTCAGGAGACAGAGGAGCCCATTGTGCTGTAACCTGCAGGCAGGAACACACTGCTGCTTTTTTTTCCCCTTGTAGCAGGATCAGGGAATTAGATCCAGCGATAAGTGAGCAGAACTGGCTGCTTGTTCAGAGCCTTAGACCCTGAAAGAATTCCTTTGTAATTGGAATACGCCGCAAAAATCAGATTTCAACACCCACGCCCTGACAGGCCTAATCCTTCCACGCAGGAGGAGTTCAATATTTCAGTCTCAGCTTTGCATTATTTACTGCTTAAGTGACGTTGAAGTAAGTGGTGGCTCTGGAACAGCAATTCCCTGGATTCTGTGAATTCAGATCTCTTCATAGCCAGGGATTTGAGTTGTCAGGAAGCAGAGCTGAGCTTGGGGGTCTTCAGGCCTCTGCAGGGTTTTGCTGTGCACTGGAACATCCACAACGTGAAATTTAGATTTATATCAAAACTAGAGATGCAGATCTGTAGGTTTACATCGACTCCTCAGCAGCAGGAGGCTTGGCCATGGTTGTTGTGCTGCTCCTGGCTGTCTCCCTCCCAAATTTCAGACAGCAAAACCCTCCTGGGGAAGTGAAAGCCTTGCTGGAACTTGAGTGTGCAGCTGCTTGGGGCCAGCAGGGAGGCATTTTCTCCGTGAGGATGCCCCCCACCACCAGCCCACTAAAGAAATAATTTTCTCTCATTCAAAACCAGCATTTGCAGGGACCTCAAGCAGCTGCCAAGGCTTTGGCACCCAGCGAGCCCCAGCTCATGGGAGGCAAAGTCCAGCCCGAGCCCGCCGGGAACTGCAGAGGATCTGCACCGAAACAAGAAGTTCCTTTTCCTGCCCATTGGTTCTCTGATGTGATTACGGCTCCAGCACACTCATCCAGCTCAGGAAAGGGGAAAAATCAGTGTTGAAACCCCCAGTTTTAATGATTCAGAAGGATTTTAGTTCCTTCTTTGTGGTAACAGCTACAAACTAAAAACGTGACTGAGCATTTGATTTAAAAGACACAGTACTCAAAAAGCTGTTTTATAGCTGGGTTTCAGTGGTGTAGCTCTCTTCCCCAACTAAAAACATATTTGGAAGAAGCTATTTTTTACCAAAATCCAAAAGCCAGATCCCTCAGCTCTTGTGGCCGTTGCCATAACTGTCCTTTAAAAGCCCACGGAGCCATCAAAGAGGAGCCGGGTAGCAATTAATGCTAATTGCTTTAGAGAAGAGGCTACTTTCTTTCAACCAGCACCACTCCAAGCTCTTCATCCCGGCTTAGAACACCTCGGTTTTGCTGTCTGGGGAACAGCAGCCAGACGCCTCCTGCTTGGGAAAGGCTTTGTCCTGGCCAGCCCCAAACACAGCCCCAAACAAACCCCCCTCTGCAGGCACCATCCCAGCTCTGAGCAGCCCAGGGGATGGATCCCAGCTCACGGGGAAGGGGTCGGGGGCAGATCTGAATTTCCTCCTATCTCAACAGGTAAATGAAGCAGCTGCCTGAGCTGTTTGCTGTCCCGAGCACAGGTTTCCCCAGCTTTCCTCCCACCACCACCGCTTCCAAACCACCTGGTCCAGCTTCGCTGGTGAATCCCCCACCACATTTCACCCTTGCAAAGCAGAGCCCTGCAGGCACCCGGAGCCCCCCAGCCCACCCAGCAGGAAAAGCACAGACAGCACAGAGCAAGCAGGAACAGAAATTACTGTTAAATCTATTTCGTTGTTTTACCAGGCTGTCCGTTGTTGCGTGCTGCCCAATTCCTCGTCCCGGCCGTGCCTATCCCAGGACTTCTTTGCTTTTCTGGGCTAACCAAACACAGCCGGGTTACACATTAACTCCTCTCCGCTGCAGATAAGGCTGCGCTGCCCAGGTGGGTGCTTGGCAGGTGATCCCTGGCCCCTCACCTGCAGCCAGGACGAGCGCAATTCATCCTGCCAGGCACCTTTCCTGCCCGGTCCCGGCGTGGCTGAGCCCCCAAACCCGCTCGGTGCCGTGCCCCGGAGCGCTGGGTGTGAGCTGGCAGCTGCGGGCAGCTCTGCTCGGTGCCACCCAGCTCCTTCACTTCCCTGCTGTCCCCTGCTGTCCTGGGCACGGCTTTGGCCGCAGACTCCTTAATCCGACATCCTGTTCTGCAGCATAGCTGCTCGCTGACAGCGGAGCCCTGAGCCCAGCCTTGCACACGATAATTATTCCAGGAGCGCGTCACCCCAGCAGGTTTCTGCTCTCGGGTGGTTTGTCCGGGATGCCGCAGCTCGGCTCTGCAAACAGCCTGGCCTGAGACAGGTTGCTACTTGCATTTCACTCTGGCTTCCCAGAGGCCAAAAGTTTGCTGCTTGCAGAGGAAGGAGGTTGTAAAGACAGGCAGAAAGTGTTTTGGGAGGGAAGCTTCGGCACAGATTTATTTACGTGCTGCAGGAAGGGCTGCCCAGGTCTGGGCAGCTCCGAGGCTCCTCTGCCTGTCCCGACCTGCAGCTGCTTTTGCCCCAGTTGGCACCAAAACCCCCTGCAAGCTCCTTCCCCGCGCTGGGGACTCCTTCCCCAGGCAGCTCCTGGGGCTCTGGTGAAAGCTGAAGGCTCCTAAGATGCCCATCAGGCTCATCCTCACACTGGCACCTTCTCAGAACCTCTGCTGGGCCATTTTTCCAGCAGCATCTCCTGCCCTGAGCCCCTGGTGCCACCTCTGCTGCCTCCTCAAAGAGGGGCCCGGGTGTCCCCACCCTGTGCAGGGTGACACCGACCCCCAGCCCGGGTGGAGCTGCAGGGGCAGGCAGAGAACAGCAGAGCCTCCTTCTTACTCTGACTTTGGGCTCTGTTGTTAAAATTGGAGCTAAAATTGCTGATCAACAATGCTTTGGCCATTCCCCACTCAGCATGGATTTGTACCTGCTTGACAAGGTGCTGCTCACTGCAAATCTACAAACACCCTGCAGGAAATTTCCAGGGCTGACACAGCTGCCGGATTCATTCACATTTCCACGCTCCAATGAATTTTTTTTTTTTTTAATTGGTATTTTTAGCAAAAGGATTTGTTGCCACACATGTTCCCTGCTCCGCAGAACAGGGAAGTGGAAACATCAGCTAATTAAAGGCAGGGGAAGATGGAGAGAGAGCAGATGAGCCAGAGGCTCCTGCTGGCAATGCTGAGCCCAGCCAAGTGCTGCTCCAGAAGGGAACATGTGCTGGAGAGCAAATCAACAAAGCAGAGGCTGCTGAGAGCCCCAGGCAGCCCCAGCCCTCCCTGCTGTCCCACACTGGCCTGCAGCAGGTGAGGGATGGAGATGCAGCCAGAGCTGCTGGAGCCTTGTCACAACCAGGGACTGAGGGCAGGATTGGTGCCAGCGCTTCAGGAGCTGTGCTGGATGGCACAGCATTGACAGAGTTTAAACGTGGTATTAATGAATGAAGTGGGTTTGACTGTAAATTAATGAATTCGTTTTAATTTGAAGTGGAAGCTTTAGAGCTGTGCGGGTTTTGAAGAGTTGTGCCCGGTGCTGAGGCTGCTCTGAGAGAGGGAGGCGACCAAAGCTGGGGTAATTTTGTTCTTGCACTGCCAGCAGGGTGTGAGCGAGCAGCAGCGCGGGCAGGGGTGTCCTGACAGCAGCAGGGCTCCGGTCTGGGCAGTCCAACAGGCAGAGCTGGCTGCCTGCAGCCCCATGTGGGTCAGGAAAGTGTCAGGATCCACCAGGAGAAATCTCCAGCTCCTCTGAATCAGGAGCCCAGAAAGAACCTGTTCTTTTTCCACATTCCTCTCCCTCCAACAAATATAAATAGCTGCAACCCAAAATAAGGTGTGATTTCACACAGATGGCATGAAGGATATGCAAAGAGTCAAATGATGCAGAGAAAACTTCCCAGTGCCCTGGAAGGACTTTGGCAGCTTCACGGCCCTGCTGAGCCTCACCCTGTTCCTAAACACGAGGGCACAAGTGACTCAGGCCTGGCCCTGAAGGAAAAGCATCCACACGGCGTCACTGATAAGATTCCTGTCAAGGTAAGGAGGTTTTTTTGACTCTGTGGGACTCTTGGGCACTTTCCTTCACCCAAATTGCAGGCACAGCCTGTGTGCTGACAAATCAGTTATGGAAAATAGCATGTAGTTAATGCCTCCTGCTGCACAGCACTCATTAAACCTTCCTATGATCAAAGAAGGTTCTATTTATTTATTAAATATTTATTATATATTATTTATATAGTATTTATTTATTGTCTCTGTTTCACAGAAAGGGGCTGGAGAAGGGAGCTGAAGTGTTCCACAGCTTGCTTACCATTAACACCAGAAGTGAGAAGGCAGCTCTCAAGCTTTAATAGTTCCCCAACATTTTCCTCAAAACTTTAATTAAACATAATAGACAAGGGCACTGGGATCTTGGACAGCCTGATTTTGTTAACTCCTCTGTTGTATTCCTGTTTCAGGGGGGAGTTGGTGCTCACACAGCTGGAACAGCAGGAGTGATTTCACCCAATTTGAAGGAATTTTATTTGGAGCAAACCTGACGGCAGTTTTAAAGCTGGACGCAAAGTTTGATTTAAAATGCAAGCAGACATTTAATTGCATGGCAGCTGCAATTTTCCAAACAGCAAGCTGACAACTTTTTAGTTCCTCTTCTGGAGAGTTTCCTTGGCAGGGAGAGGCTCCCAGGGCTGGCCCATGGGTGGGTTCTGCAGTGAAATCAGCCACACACAGATGATTCAGCACTGGTGTGTCAGTCTGATTGCTCAGAACCTCCCCCAGCTCCGGGCTCTCTGTGCCCCAGGCAGCAGCAGCAGAGAACTTCTGCTCTCCTTGTTCTCCTCCTTCTGCTCTCCTTGTTCTCCTCCTCCTGCTCTCCTTGTTCTCCTCCTCCTGCTCTCCTCTTCAGCCCCAGCCCCTCCCCAGAGGAGGAGGGCAAACCCAACACTGCGGGGTCACAGAGGTTTCAGCCTCACTGCGGGTGGCTGCCCCAGAACAGATCCCAGTTCCAGAGCTGGATGTTCTCCAGGAGAGCAGGATGGGCACAGGACACTGTCCCCAAAGTGTCACAATGGCCCCCCTGTGACTGTGCTCAGGGAAAGGTGCTGATTTGAGATGTACCATGGAACAGGATGTTCCTTTTCTCAGTGCTCTCCCCAGAAACTGCTCTTTTGATAGGAGTTTGCTCAGAACTTGAGAATTAGGTTTGTCCTTCAGAAATTCCAGGTATTACTGATTTTCTCCCCAGACTGGTCTTTCTATTGCATCCATGGAAGAGATCTGTGTACTACTGGACAGAAATATTTGTAAAGTCAGCTTAATAAATTGTATATTTCAATGCATAAAAGATTCTGGAGGGATGCAAAACTCTCTTTACAGCTGAGCCCTGGTATCTCAGGTACCATATTTCAGAGGATCCCAGAGTGGTTTGGCTTGGAAATGACCTTGAAGCTCATCTCATCCCATTATGATATTCAGAGTTCATCCAACACTAGAAGGATGCCATTTTTGGGATAATTCCCTGACTGTGTCATTAAGAGCAGGAAAATCCTAGTTAAAACATACTAAAAAACACTCTAATAAGAATTTTTTTAAAAGGAAAATAGTTGTACTTTAAATCTATCCAGACTTTACGTTTTAAATAATGGAAACACTTTTTGTTTGGGAAAGTTTAGAAGAGTAAGGAGAAATTTTTCTTGCAATCAAGGAGTTGTTGTTTGTCAGCCTGTAACAATATCAAGTGTTACAACCACGAATTACAGGTATATCTTTTTTATCCAAAGAGATTTTATTTTCTAGGCAACAAAAGAGAACATCCAAGCAGTGATAGTGACACATCTCCCTCTAAGGGAACTGATTCTCTGGTAGCAGATTCCCAATGCAAACATGATCTAGCAAAGTTCAACACTCTGGATTAAATAAAGCTCATTTTTCCAATACTGCAACTGAGAAATACCAGGAAAAAAAAAAAAAAAAAGGAAAAGGAAAAGGTTTCACACACTTTGAGAAATCCATCCAGGACACAAAGCTAAAATCTAAGGGTTGCTCCCCAAAGTCAAGGCAGACAATAAATATGGATCTTCCACTTGTGTTTCAAAGACACCTGGTGCACCTCTCTGAGGTAGGTATTGTGTCCATGTGACAGATGGCAAAGGGGAGGATCAGCTCCTTGTCCCAGGCACGTCCCTGCTTCCCTGGGAGAGCTGAGCACACCTGGGGCTTGCCAGTCTCTTGGTCTCGTTCCTAGCCAGTATTTCAGCTCAAGTAGTTACAACACAGTGTAATCTTCAAGTTCCTTTGAACTGTCAGGTATTTCTGGAGGTTTTTAAGCATCAGCTTCTACAGGGCTGGGTTTAATGTTGGGTTTTGGGGGGGTTTAATCTTCTTTTCCTAATGACAGGCTAAAAGCAGAGTGGGGTTTAACACTGGAAGCTGAGTGGCTTTCTATAGGGAACTCCCAACAGTGCTAATGTGTGTTTTAATACTGAATTAAAAACAAACCCAGGTCCACAGTGCTCTGGGTGATCCTAGGCTGTTTAATTATTCATGCCTTAATTCAGCAAAGCACTTAAGTAATTACGTTCTTTCTTCAGTAAAACCCTCCTGTATTTCAAGATCCAACTGGGAGCCTCTGCTGAGAACCAGAAATATGATTTTTGCAGAAAAGGTGGTGTTGCTGCACCAGTTTGGTCAGGTGCCTGAGGGAACAGAGCCCTTTCAAACTGGGTTTTAGGTTAAACCCACGTGCAAAGTGGGTTTATTTCTGCCTCAGTCTGAGGATGCCTCTTCTTGTTCCCCAGTCTAAAAGTGCAAGGAAGGTCACTCAAAACAGTAACAGAAGAATGGCAGGCAAAGGATATTTTAAAATTCAAGAAACAAGGATATGTTGCAGGCATTTCAAAGAAAAAAAAAACAAAACAACATAAATCCCCTTCAGTAATATGCACCTTTACAGCACCTTTTAAAAGCCCTCAAAAGCACCTGCTGTTAAGCTTCACAACCCCCCTGTGAGGTAAAATATTCCAATTAAACCAATTTCATCCTTCCCTGATTCTCAACAGTCCAAGGAGTGGGGCACTTTCCCCAGCTTATTTTCATGTGAATATTCAGCTGTGATATTTCATTATCACA